GGAAGAGAGAGAGAGGGAGGAAGAGAGAGATAGGGAGGAGGAGGGAGGGAGGGAGGGAGGGAGGGAGGGAGGGAGGAGGGAGAGGAGGGAGGGAGGGAGAGGGAGAGGGAGGGGGAGGGAGGAGGAGGGAGGAGGAGGGAGGAGAGAGAGAGAGAGAGAGAGAGAGAGAGAGAGAGAGAGAGAGAGAGAGAGAGAGAGAGAGAGAGAGAGAGAGAGAGAGAGAGAGAGAGAGAGAGAGAGAGAGAGAGAGAGGTAACTTTCCACTAAACAACTTTTCTACTCCAAGATCTGTAAGTTTAGTACCTGCTGATATGATAATTTTATATTAAAATAACAATAAATACTAACAGCCTAATGAAAATTCTTGCCACAAATAGACAGGAACATGCATGCCACAAAAGTTTACTGCCTACATTCCAATAAGCAGAAGTATGTGTGGAGTTTCAAAGCTAAAATAAGTACAGTGAATATTCAACCCCATGGATTTCCTTTTTTGAAATTCAGCTTGTCAGGTTGACACTGGAGGATTTTAACAACTTCAATAAACCTCAGTACATAACACAGCAAAAGGAGCTGTTCTCATAACCTTTTTAAAAATAAAGAAAAGATTAAAAAAACAGAGATTCTATCCTGATTCTTCTGAAATGTTACACTCATTATTACATTCCTGTTGTCAAATACATATCCGACTAATAATCCAAAATCAAACCCAATTTATTTACAACAATAAGAACAAAATGAATTAATGATACCCCTTATAACCCACCTCATCGTTCACATACTTTAATCATCCAATTATATCATTTCATTATCATATAAAAAATATGGAAAACACAAATGTAGTACTTACCAACTGCCATTTGCTCAAGTTGTGACACTTCTTGTGGTGACAACTGTAGAACTGTCTTGAGAACAGGCACAAGGTGTTTCCGTTCCTCATTGTTCCTCAGCATCAAAAACTGTGAAAATGTTTGTATGCATTAAATGTATTAATGTAAATCATTCAACTTATCAGTTTCCTATCTATCTACTTTTATATGCTATACAGAAAATAGATAACATAAACATCTAATACTAAGGCCTCATTCTTTACAAATAAATTCTTTAATGTGAAGTTAATTACTTTCACATAGGAATTTTTTTCATTCTAAACAATGCTGGTTATCGAAGTTAGTCTATTATCGTGATCTCCGTCACCCTGTTCATGACTGCAAAATCACAATGAAATAAAATATCACATTACTTCAAAAGCAGAATTCATAAAACAAGTCACAAATTATAAGAATCCAAACAGATAAATGTGCTGTCTTCATGCTAAACAGATGCAAATTACAGCTTACTTTTACTAATTCTGGCAGGGATGGAAAATTAAATTTCAGCAATACAACTAACCTTCAATATCACATTCTTGGCATATTCCATATTTTCCATGTGCTTCTCTCGGCTCTCATTACGAGCTGATCTTCGGATTTCTTCCTTAAGTGCATCTGCGAGTTGGCACAGCTTGGCGTTTTCTGCCTCTGACTCATGCAAGAGTGAGGTCAGCTGCTGAATCCGCATCTCTCCTGATTTCAACTGGAATCACGGATGAAAAGAGGTTGGAAAATTCTTATATACACCCAAGTCTCGGCCTCTCCTTGACTCCTCTCCTAGCTTAAATTTTGCCTGAGTATCTAGAGAAGATATATTGTGCATTATTGATTCTTCTATTCTCAAGAGCACCATCTGGCATTTTGGATGTAAAAAATACTTAATAAATTTCTGATAATTTTAAGCTGTGAAGAGTCTCAGGTTCTCAAGCTTCCTTGAAATTTTAGATCCTTTTATCACTTTTTTATGGAATCCATGGGATCTAATGGGATAAATATTGGGTATTATTAATTTCTGCAGATGAGAAGTAATTAGTAAAAAGCACAATAACAAAAAAAAAAGTCAGGCAGTATCTCTATCAACAAGAAAAGCAGAAGGGAGTACAAAACAAATCACAGGACATTACAGTGACAAATTGAACTCAACAGTTAAATATAACTGAAACTGCATCCTCTTAACCATTTACAAAGATAGCCTCACAAATCCTGAGACTGCTTTCTAGCAATATCCCAAGTTTCTCCCTGAAGAAGCAATAAAACCATGCACTTCATTAATAGAATCCAACAGCAATTCCTATTCTCTGTTACAATTTTACATTCTATCAAGTTCCTGTTCCCAAACTCCACCAAAATTTTAGGACCCATTAAGATGCACACATTCACTCTAACAAACACCAACACCCAAGGCCGTCACTGAGAACTAGACTGCAGAGAGTCCCTTCCGATTACAGCAGCCCGTCTCACCTTCGACTCCAGCCTATCAATCTCCTTTAGTGTGGCATCAGTGGCAACACTGGTGACGCTGACTGTGTCATCTTGAGGGGGTTGCTGACTGGGGGCTGAGGGCAGGGGAGAGTTTATGAGCTGCTCCAAGGGTGGCGGGCTGTATCCCATGGGTCTAGCCGGGGAATGGTGTACAGGCTCCACCCACTCAGATCCCTACAATGGTGCAGGTAAAATAGTCTCCTAAATTATGGTCATCCTTTGGGTGTAGAATGAAGATTAGAGTAGCATGCATCAACAATTATTTGAACAGTTAACTTTAGATGGAGTCTCTTAGGGCCCAAGCTTTGAACTTCCATATATTTCACACTTTAATTACCAATCTTCAAGTAAGTGCATTTTATTTAGTTTAAAAATTTCTTGTAATGGAATACAGTAATAGATGCCTATAGCACTATTTATAGTCCTTAAATGTTTTAATCTGAAAGATAAATATGACAACTGGTAAAATACCTTCTGACTTGGATTATATTATTCACAATTTCAAAATTAGAGATTCTCCATAAACAAATCAAAAGCACTAGCTCAAAACACAAAACAAAAAAGAACAAAACACAGAATGGAAAACCCATGGCAGAGACAATGCATAAAAGGACTTTCAGAGAATAATCAGAAAGGAGAAAGAAGCTTGAGAGATCAGAAGCTACCACAGCTGTCCCCAGCAGCAAGGATACAAAGAGAAGGATTATGAAGGGTAGGAAGGTACTCACCTCTCCTTCTTCCCTGATCATGTTAGTGATATCAATTCTATTCTCCTCTGAGCCATGGCTGTGTTGACGTCTGTGCTGATTATGGTGAGCGGCAGTGGTGTTTGTCTCCAATTCGTGACGATTAGTGTGAGGGACACCTGCATAAGGGCTAAGGGAGTTGCTTGCATTTGCAGAAGGAGCTGGCACAGTATTAACATTGTTCTTGAGCTGCCAAAGCTTGTCCTCAGTTTCTTCCAGTTTCTTTGTAAGATCCTCTACCTCATGAGTGTGGGTCTCACGGAGAGTCTCAAGTTGCTTCTGCAATGTGTTTTACAAGATTATTTGTTGTTCTAGATTTCTTTGTTATTCCAAAACTTTCCTTCAAGGAGACAGAGAGAAAAAATCTGATTCTTTAAATAACAATTTCCAAATCAAAGTCAACCCTGGAAAAATGTTATTGTAACCTGATATCATAAAATCATAAATAAAATAATAAAGTATATGCAACATATCTGAGTGTGGCAAATGAATGCTAACATAGACCAATAAACCCCTGGAAACTTGCCTTAAAACTATTACTCATAGTTTCATTTTGAATGGACATGTTGGCAATGATCAGCTGATACTCTGCCGTCTTAGTCTCAATTTTACTCTCGAGTTTGGCAACTTTCTCTTGATGGGATGCCTCCCTTTTGGTCAATTCCTCAGAGATGGAAGACACCTGACGTAAAAGTCCATCCTTCTCAGACTGCAAATAGCTGAGTTCTGCCTTCACCGCAGAGATCTCAGATCTGCGGAAGAAAACAAATTTGTGCCAATGTGAAATCCAACTTCAGTGAGGAACTGAAAGCTACAAAATGCTTTTCCTTTTCATGTCCCTTTTCTTCTATAATATCTGTTAGGATTGAAACAGTGATAAAAAAGGAGCTTTTAATCCTCATGTTCATTTCTTTTGCATTCCCTCTCTTCTAGAAGATACTCTACACAGTAGTTCAAATTAATGATCAGAAAAGGTTGGTACAGTAAGAAATTACTTGACAAGAAAAAATTGACAAATGAAAATTAGTTTTCTTACCCTCTTCTAAGTATTCTGTGCCAATTTATGATGTGCTTTAAGCAGTAGGTAAGTGGGATTTATAAGCCAAAATGTCTGGCATCTCATCTCTCCACGAACTTTTTTTCACACATAACTACCTAGCCAGCTGATGCTACTATGTCACACAGGGAGCTAGTGCCTTGATATAACATTGCTGCATCATACTTTCATAACCAAGAATGGGTCAACTTACTGTAACTGTTGTATTCTTAACTGGGCTGCATCGTAATCACTCTGGAGCTGGTCCCTCTCTGTCTTCAACTCATTCACATCAATGTCTGGTGCTCTGGATTTTTGTCTCAATACACTGTGGACCCTCACTTTGTAACCTACCAGAGGGATGTAAAAGTTTTTTTACATACAAATAAAGAACATAACTTTTTTCAGTTATATTGTACAATCTCTTTAGAAGCACATGAATACCATATTGCTAACTAATTCATTGTAAAAAAATAAATCCTTACATACCTTCAAATTCATCCTTAACTGTTTTCAGTTCTGATGTTAGCTGACTGACTTCAAGTTTATGCTTTGAAAGTTGATCCTCTAAGACTTCAATCTGTTAAATAGAAAAAAATAAGAGATCACAAAGTACACAGATATAAAATATTCTATAGATAAAGTGTGCTGAAAGCAAAAAAGTAAGCAAATTCATGTATATATCCATGAATTATACCTACATGTATTTGTGTGCATTGTGTGAGCATTAAAATTATCACATGTGATACATACTTGATGATCAGCCACAGCTTTAGATTTCCTCAAAGCATCCTCTAGTCTTGTCTTTTCAATGCTAATTTCTGACAACACTAATTTCTGCTTTTCAACTTCCTGTGTAAAAAA